CTAATTGCCAATCCAATGGTGCGCATTATTATTCGTATTATTCATGGTGTTCAGCGTTGTTTGCAGCAAATTGGAAATAATAAATAACAATCAAAGATTATGTGAAGATAATAACAATATGAGTGTAATTACGCAGCGGGCATTTTCGTAAACACAATACGGAAACACTGGAGATTCCGTAACATACCCGACATAACGCAGACACTAAAACTCACATACATGAATATCACGGTTGAGCACACCACTATATAATCTGTAGCTATGTTAACAGGAATGGAATACTGTAGTACATTTAAAGAAAGAACTTAATAAATACAAAGAAGCATTACGATGACTATATACAGAAACCTGTTACCATATTCTGTTCAATAGCACGGTCCATTTTCACGTTGCTAGAGGGGATACGGGTGGCCCAATCCTTTAGGCGCTATGATATAACTGAAATACTGTTCAAAGTGGCGTCATATCCAACTCATTCACTCGCATTGCTATGGTTCGTTTCCAGCTACACGAGGGCGGTCTGTACATATTGGACTGGACCACACGACCAAGTGATTGACATCATGAGCATCGCATTGCTATACATACGATCAAGGTTCTGTGATGCCATAGCTTCGTGTTTGGGTCATGTTCGGCTGTCTGTGAAGGTCGACAATGAGACGGGGCACGGGAAGTCTTGAGCGATGTTAGTTAAATGTATTGTTTATATGAAAACGATCGAAATCAGCAGTGGTGACATTTTCCGATATCTTATGCAGCTAACATATCATTCCTTTTCTATTCTTCTATTATCATAACCAACTGAGGAGCAAAAGAAACTATATACCTCTCAGCTGATTTGATCACATGTTTGATTTTTAATTGAACATATTTTAAGTCAGCAATATCATAGCCATAAAAGGAAATGTACTGACGCTTAGTCGGTCCTAAAAGAATACTTCTACAAGGTTTTATTTTTGAAATTTATTTTGATGTTAAACTTTTAAAAATTAAAATAAAATACAACACTCATGATGGGTATCTAAGACATATTATTTTTGAAACATTTCAAACATGGTAGGGGTCATGTGGTTGCAAATTCATTTCAAAACCCATTCTTCATTGAACCAATTAATATTTACACAAAATAACCCAACCACAGATTACTTTTTACAAACTGTTGCAGGAATGATTGATGGTTAGGCAGACATAATCAAATAATTTAGCAACTGTTCTTTTAAGTTTTAAATACATAAAAACATATACTTTCTTTAGGCCCCCAGGTTTATAACTGACATTATGTTCAAAGCGGCATTTTTTAAACCCACTCACTCACGCGACACAAATTCAAACCTGAATTTTATGTTCATCCCGTAGACAATTTATCCAATTAGTAAACACAGCCAGTAGTGAATGGGTACCCGGTAGGAGGAAATGAGAAAGTAACGGATAACCTTCTAGTGCCACACAGGCAGATTGGATTGTATACTACCCAGGGAGTTGACAATAAATCGAGTGCACACTGATCCACTAATGTGGCGCTTTGAGCATGCTACAGCAGAGAAACAAGTAGATTTAGTAGTATTGCATTCTGAGTTGTGTCTTTCCATATCCGAAATTCATAAAAGGAATTTGAATATGAAAGATCCTTAAACATTTCATCTCTCTTTTCAAGTAGGGCATTATTAATGATTTTCTTACAGGAAGTCTCGAAAGACGATAGTTTGTTTGTTTGTTGTTTAACGCCGCACTCACCAATATTCCAGCGATATGACGGCGGTTTGTAGAACAATCGTGTCTGGACCAGACAATCCAGTGATACATGTCATCGATCCCAATTGCGTGGATCGATGACATGTATCAACCAAGTCAGCGAGCCTGACCACCCGATCCCGTTAGTCGCCTCTTACAACAAGCATAGTCGCCTTTTACGGCAAGTATGGGGGGGCTGAAGACCTATTCTACCCCGGAATCTCCACGGGTCAAGACGATAGTGATATGTATTATTCATATAAATACAATCGAAAGCAGCAGGGTTGAGATTTTCCGAAATCTTATGCATTGCTATAAAATCATTACTTTTCTATTACCATAACATTCTGAGGAGCAAATGAAACTATACCTCTCAGCTGAAATTATCACATGTCTGATTTTTAATTGAAAATATCTAAGTCAGCAATATTATATCCATAAAATAGAACCACTGGTATTAAGCCGGCACACAAGGAACACTTCTACACAGTTCTACTTTTGAAAATGTAATTTGATTTAATGGTATTTGATGGGAATCGTAGATATTTTATCTTTGAATATCAATAAATATGCTTTTTTCGACACAAATTTTCAATCAAACATGGGGTCATGTGGATGCAAATACATTTCTTTACCCAATCTTCATTGAACCAATTTATTTTTAAAAAAATACCCAACCACAGTTTTTACGAGACTGTTGCAGTAATGAGTGATGGTTAAATAGACATAATTAAATTTAACAACAGTTTTTTTAATTTTCAATTACATAAAAAAACAAAAAACTCGGTATACTTTATTTTGTCCCTCAGTTTATTATCGTTGAAGTTGTTTTTGTAATACATGCACACTCTCATGATTAAACGTGTTTGTTATTATCACCATCATTAGGCTAAAGAATATTGATTTTTATGGCTTCACAAAATTATGTGACATTATTTGTTTATTGCATGTTGAAAATGGCTTGAAACATTATTTACATTCCTGTAAACGTTTTAATTAGATTTGAAGTACGCACTTGCTCAAATTGTGCCTGTTAAAAACCCATGCTGCGATTTAAATGATAATTGTCGTGGCCCACAATACGTATACTAACTGCTGGCCAAAAGAAGGTATACACTTGAAAATTGGATTTGACCAAAATATTGCTACCGTTAACACACGCTACTAGGCTGAACGCTACTAGGCCGTAACACTGCAAACTTAATGCCCACAACAGAACTATGATACCCATATCAAATACATCAACATCGAATAACTAGTTTTTGTTTGTTTCGTTTTTAGCGACCATGGTACATGGGTGAAAACATGTATTTTCTTTTGCTCGACAATTTACTTCAATTGCGAAGAAATGAAAATAATTTCCTCGTTTCTTTCATCAAATATTTAAATTTCGTTGAAAATATTCAAAGACATGTTATTTGTACTTTAAGTTACTTGTGTTTATCGCGAATTGCTCGTTTCACTGCGTCAACACCCTGAGGAACGACCTGCCTGTCAACCACATGTTCCTGTTTACAAACTGTAAACCTGGGATTTCCCCTTGTGTATTTTTAGAAACAACCGGTTGCGACCGTTGTCAATGCATGCTGGGATGTTTAAACCTCCTAATGTTGAACCATGCATTAACCAATCATCTAGCAGAATCTAGCCAATGGAATGCGGCGAGTAGGCGTCCATAGTGCCCGCGTTGTCAAGTTACCTTGATAAAAAAGCGACCCGCGTTATACATTCAGACGGCGACCTGTCATCTACATCGAAAAGGCAGAAGTTACATTAATATTCTTACAGTTGGCCTTACAGTTTTGATAATACGTCGTTCAAACCACCAGATTTGTAAGTATGACATTGTTTATTGAAACGACGTGTGTGCAATAATAGCTATTTCGTAAAGTGTCTTTGTGCGCTCGTGCCATTTCGCGTGCTTTTTAATTTCCGAATAATCCTCATTGACAGCCACTGCCCGTGGAAGGCCATTACATAATTTATGTCAATTTTTATTACCGCCGAAGTATTTTTTCACAAGCAAAAACAATATATTGATGTACAGGGATACTTATTTAGCCAAGAAGGTACAGCAGTGTCTTATTGTCACGTGTCATTAGTGCCGCTATAATTAATATGAGGTCATTATAGTAATCGTCGATTTGGCGGTTTATAATGATGTCATCACATAATTGATTTAAAGTCGGTTGGTAAAAACATTAATCGTGTGACTCAGTCTGAGATTTTAAAAATCAGAAGCACAGCGGTGACACAGCGGGAGATTAGCCCGATCGTGTCCGTGCAGCGCTTCGGGTGGTTTCGTTTATACTGACTCTGGAGATCATCCTATCCGTATAAATTTCAGAAAACACTGTTATAGTATTGCTATTTAAAGCTAACTAGATTTAAAGAGCTTTTTTATTTGATTTTAAATGCGTTAATGTCCGTACATATATTACATGATTATTCCTTTTTTTCATCTAAACGGGATTTCTATATATTTTTAGGGTAAGCAAATGATACAGATAGCCCATATAATTCATGATACTCTCTTATTACTTTCAAATGTTACGTCATTCCCATTCATCGCTGACCAATCCTTCATTTTGTTAACGTGGCCGGGTATGTGAATTTATTCAGTTGCCTAGGTTGCCATGATGCCTATAGCGGTGTGTACAAAGTGTCTTCCCATTCACATGTGGGGCACTCCCTGCAGAGCTTTGTAAGCAGGAATGTCAGATATAAACGGCGGTCTTATACCCTCATTGACTGCCCCCATTCACATGCCTTGTGGCAGGCTATGGTGTATTTGCTTAAAGGTAGTTGAGGGTTCAGGAATGTCAAGCATACAATCATATACAGTGTTAGAAGGTCTTGGGTGCCATGACTGAGGTCTCCTGCTAACATGTCCAGTCTTGGGTACCATCTGGCACTGTTAACATAGGTTTGAGACATGGACTGCAGGGATAGAAACTGCTACTTGACTGTAACTTAGCCCTACTCTTGTAAACATACAGAGGGACTCGTCTTACATAACCACTAGTCCGAAATGAGCAATGGACTATATAGCTATTATATAGACTTGACCAATGGTGGATCCTTGACCTGCATTCTTAATCTGGAAACACTGATTTAATTTTACTTTGACTGATTTTTGTAATTATAGTTACGTGTGTTGGTGTATCAGTTATGTCACTGGTCAAAATATGTCGGTACTCTGTCGTACTTGTAGGCTGTTTTGTGTCTTTATTATTTCTGATATTTCATATGAAACATTTGTTTTGCAGCAAAATGACCGAAAGGAAAGCAGTCATCAAGAATGCCGACATGAGCGAGGACATGCAGCAAGATGCTGTAGACTGCGCCACAACAGCTCTCGAGAAATACAACATTGAAAAAGACATTGCTGCCTACATCAAGAAAGAGTTCGACAAAAAATACAACCCAACATGGCATTGTATCGTTGGACGTAACTTTGGAAGCTATGTGACCCATGAAACAAAGCACTTTATCTATTTCTATCTTGGACAAGTTGCCATCTTACTCTTCAAGTCTGGATGAAATGGAACTGTATACTTCCTCCACGATGATATTTACCGGTCTCTTTCCTACATATGACGGATGAAAGGCAAGCTGACAGCTGGGAATCGGCTGATTAGTGTGGACTTGTGTGTGAGATGATGTTTCTTGACTGTTTGTGGATCTGCATTTCTCAAAGAACCAAATCAAACCAACCTCTGAATCAGGACGTATGAGCCTGCGACTTAAAACGTTTTTGTACTTATATATTTATCATTTTTTGTTACTTTTGTTGTCATCATGTGGAACATAATGAAGCCTTTTTATTTAATCTATTAAAATCATATTGTTTACTATACAATCATTTTCTTGTTTTCTTGTGCTGGCATAGTCTTTGAGCAGGAATATCACAGACGATGTGATACCACTGACTTAATTTGGGTCCAATGTTGTAAGTACAGAGATGACAACCATTCATCAATATATTTTTAACCATTCTGCTTATAGGAGTAAGTGAAAGATACTGGGAATGTTTTCAAAAAGCATTGCCCAGTGAGTTTTAGCTCTCCTGACTGGCAGTACAGTAATGTTATGTCAGGCCTGGTTTGTCAGAAGCATCTTCACAGAAACCACTGAACCAATGAAGCTGACACTTCACATACATGTTCCCACCAATGATGACTTCCCAGTTTGTTTGAGAGATTCAAATCTCACTTTCAACATGGCAGACACAGCAATCCTATTCACATTTACCCACCAATAACTACAATTTTTCAAGAGGTTTGAATCCAATTTTCAATATGTTCACACCAGCAGCCATATCGAACAAGCACTGTACTAGTTATCAGCCCAGTTACGTCACATATGCAAACAATACATAAATCAATTGATAATAAGTTGTTTAAGCTTGAAAACAGGGTGTTCATCTTCCTGAGGCAAGGGACTTAAAGAACGATAAAAGTCCAGTTTCCACCCTTACTGTTAAAAGGCTGGAATTTTGTGGCTAGATCATAGCGTCACACTGATTTTACGGAACTCATGGCAGAATTCCTTATATGTCAGCATGACACACAATTTCTTTATTACCTATTATTTCATAGCCACTCTCCACTCCCCTTGAGAAAAGGTCACTAATCATGATCCGCATACTAGAAAGCAACAAATGTTTTCAGCTCTGAGGTTGTTTCTAGTGAAGTCGTTCCGAGCATAAGTCATGATAAGTTTGAATGCTGTCAACACTGCTGTACGTATGATGTAAACAATACGGTGGTGCGCGTGAAGTGATATTTACGCTAGTGCACATACAACCCCTGAAGATCTGTGTTAGAATAGGTCTACAGCAACCCAGGAGGCGACTATGCTGATGGTAAGAGGTGACAGGATTGGGTGCTAAGACTTGGTTGATGCATGTCATCGTATCCCAATTGCTTGGATCGATGCTCATAATATCTATAACTTTCTAACCCTATGGGTAATAAAGCAAAATAGGATATATTTTATCAAACTCATGAAGTCAACCATGTGTACTTTAGATCCTTGTTATCCTAGATGTTCCTATAGTGGCATGGTTTGTCCAAACTGATCGCAGACCAGAACAAGCATGGTAGTTGTCTAGTTCTCAGAGCCATCATGACCGAGGTTTAGAAGTCCCTACATTCTACAGTAGAAGAAGCACACTTTAATTACCCCGCGCCCTTCTTAACTCAGATCCGGGGTAGATTAGGTCTTCAGCAACCCATGCTTGCCGTAAAAGCCAACTTTGCTCATCGTAAGAGGTGACTAACGGGATCGGGTGGTCAGGCTCGCTGACTTAGTTGATGCATGACATTGTTTCCAATTGCGTGGATCGATGCTCATGATATCAATCACTGGATTGTCTGGTCCAGACTTGATTATTTACAGACTGGTGTCATATAGCTGGAACATTGCTGAGTGCGGCAACAAACCAACCAACCAACCTTAGAATTGGTCCCTGGCAAGAGATGCTGATGGTATGAACCGTCGAAATGGATCAGGTGATCAGGCTTGGTTCATGGTGTGTTGATGAGTTCTCAGAGCCATCATGTCCGAGGTTTAGAAGTCCCTACATTCTATTGCAGAAGAAGCACACCTTTATTACCCTGCGCCCTTCTTAACTCAGATCAGAGTAGGTCTTCAGCAACCCATGCTTGTCGTAAAAGGCGACTTTGCTCATCGTAAGAGGTGACTAATGGGATCAGGTGGTCAGGCTCGCTGACTTGGTTCATGCATGTCAACGTATCCCAATTGTGTGGATTGTTGCTCATGATATTAATCACTGGATTGTCTGGTCCAGATCGATTATTTACAAGATGGAATATTGCTAATTCCTGCATTTAACCAAAAAATAAACTGAATTTCAAACCTTGTCTCAGACTTATTACATTTTGAACATCGGGGGTAGAAGAGATCTTCAGCAACCCATGCTTGCCAATGCTTCTCATCGATCCCAATTGTGTGGATCGATGCTCATGATATCAATCACTGGATTGTCTGGTCCAGACTCGATTATTTACAGACCGCCGTCATAAAGCTGGAATATTACTGAGTGAGACGTAAAAGAACAAGCCAACCAACTACTCTGCAGTGTAGTAGTGAGTGAGTTGGGTTAACAACACTCTGAACAGGTTTCCAGTTATATCACGGCTTGTTGGAATATTGCTGACAATCCAGTGATTGATATCATGAGCATCGATCCACGTAATTGACATTTCTAAGGATATATATATATATTAGACACTAATTGGGACAACTTGTTATTTTTTATATAAACTAGAAATTATGATTTAAACTAATAAATATTGCCTAAGAGACTTATTGCCTTAGAGACTTGTGCAAGTCTACAAATATGATACAGTCCGAAGTCTCACGGCCGAGGTGAGCTGACATGTATGTTCAATCTCCGTATCTGGAATTCTTGGATGCAAGGTTGGGATATTTCCGTACACAGAATGTTGATGACTTGATTATGGATAATCTATCTTGAAAGGACAAGTAAGTGAAGTTGGTCAATAAGAAGTGTTGAGACTCGATAATGTGAATGTTTTCTGGAGAAACTAATTATGACAAAAAATACAGTAATTTCTAAGTGGGAATCCCTAGGCAACGTCGTGCAACAGAACTGTTGAAATCAATAATATAAGTGACTAGAGCTAATGAAACAGCCCATTACAAGTACTGTATTCAGCATTTTTCCTTCAAATCTTTGGAGTTTTTGTAACCAAGCTCCTCACAGCAACACCTCGTGTTGGAGGAAGTTATGTCATAAATGCACAGAAGCAGGGGGCCCAGTTGGCCCAGTCGTCTATGGCGCCACAATGCGCTGTGCAGAGTTGTGTCCCTCAGGCACACCTGCAACCTATGGTCATGGGTTTGAATCCCATTTCTAGGTTTGTCAGAGCCATACTTGTGCTCGTGGGTATCACCAAAGTGGTATCGTCTAAGACCTGCATCACTTCAGGCTTTCCTCCTACATGAAGCTGACACACCGGGATATAACTGGAAAACTGTTCAAAATGGCGTTAAGCCCAATTCTCTCACTCACTCACTCATAAGAGCATGTTTGTGATATTCAATTTCTTTTGTAATTGAAATTATGCTTCCCAACTGAAGATGATATTTTTAGTCATAAAACCGGTTTTAGGGATGCAACACTTTTCCAAAATGGACACTGCCTTTTTTAAAGAAGATAATAAGAAATTATACCACTTGCAAACACATGTACATCCACGCACTCCACAAATCAACAAACAGCAACGTTAAGATGACCCGGGAAGATCCGGGGTAGAATAGGTCTTCAGTAACCCATGCTTGCCGTAAAAGGCAACTATGCTTGTAGTAAGAGGCGACTTACAGGATCAGGTGGTCAGGCTTGTTTACTTGGTTCATGCATGTCATAGTATCCCAATTGGGTGTATTGATGCTCATGTTAGTATTAACTGGATTGTCTGGTCCAGACTTGATTGAAGATCCAGGGAAGAATAGGTCTTCAGTAACCAATGCTTGCCGTAAAAGGTGACTATGCTTGTTGTAAGAGGCGACTAACAGGATCCGGTGGTCAGGCTCACTGACTTGGTTCATGCATGTCATCGATCCCAATTGCGTGGATTGATGCTCATGTTATTAATCACTGGATTGTCTGGTCCAGACTTGATTATTTACAGACCGCTGTCATATAGCTGGAATAATGCTGAGTGCGGCTTTAACAACAAACAAACAAAAGTATTGAAGTTGTGTTTTGTGTGCAACAAGCAAGGGTCCTGGAATCCCAACAGGGCTTCGGTTTGGAGGACAACATACAAACAGTAATAAGCTAGAACAAGGCATTTTTTATGAGAAATTTAAATATGTTTAATTTAATGTTGCAGGTTTCAAACCTTTCTATAATATCCCAGCTAATACTGGGTTCTTCAAACAAAATTCTTCATGATAAACTTCAATTTGCAACAATATCAAGGAAAAGATTGAGTGCACAACAAAGTTAGTTTTGTGCCATGTCGTCAGTGATGACATGATGATGATGATAATCTGGTGATCCCCTGTTCCTTCTATATGCCCATCATCTGTCTCTCACAAAGGTCAAACACCAACCTTATGTATCAGTGGTAAACCTGTGTCACTCATGCTGCAAGGAATAATTCCCAATGATCTTATTAAAAAAGCAGACCTTTTACTCTGATACTCATTTTGTGAACATCTGACACAACGATTTTGACGTTTTCCCCTGGCAGCCTTAGCAACAAGCACCCGTTCTATGGCACCCAGTGGCACCCTGGGAGGATAAGTTTTTATTGTAATCCCTGTCGTGATGACAACCATGGAGCTAACGCTGTCCTTCTGTCGCAGTTCGTCGCCAAATTCTTCGTCTTCATGCCATAAATTTGATTCTGAAAGACAACCCACAGAACAAAAATACCATGACAGCAAACCTGATAGTCCATGGATTTCACAAAGGAAACAGGAAGGAAAATATCCACATCAATGTACTGTAGTACCACATACTTTATTATTTTCCATTCAGAACTTCCTGTCTGTGTTCAAATTCCAAGTCAACAATGCTGCTTTGAATGCTTCACTCAGTGGTAGTGATAATTTAGAAGCCTGATTGGCTGATAAGAAAGTTCACCTGACGTGACCTAATGAGTGCTAGTCGGATCTTCAACAGAGAGGTGTGTCAGGGTGAAGGTCTGATATTACTGACATTGAGTTCACACAATCTTAAATCCAGAATGAATGGCAGCGACTCCAAATGTGAGGTTCTCATGGCTGACAACTCTGAAGCCAGCTCTCCTGATCATTGCTGAAAAGTCCTCCTGAAAAATACAAATATTATCAGTCAGTTGTGATCAGAACTACATATGTATACTTGACTGTGCCAGAAGTATTTGAGACTACTTACCTGAACATGTCTCTTAGCATAATTTTCAGTACACCTTAGTGTTATGATATGGATTTTTTCTAGCCGAGCTTACTGGACCCAACAGAATTTTAATAGACTCTGGCTTCAGACTGGTGAGTGAGGTGGGTTTAACGCTGCTTTTAACATTATTCCAGTTATATCGCGGCATGTCAGCTTAATGTGGGAAGAAAGCCCGAAGTGTTGCAAGTCTCAGACGTTAATCACTTCGGTGAAACCCACGAGCACAGGTATGGTGCTGACAAACCTAGAAACATAATTGGGGCAAACCAGGATTCGAACCCACAATCATAGATTTCTGGCGTGCCTAAGGGACGCAACTCTGCACAGCGAATCGCGGTGCCTTAGATGACTGGGCCACCAATGCCCCCTTTTGACTAGTTGCAGACAAGCCTACAAATCTACTTATTTTGTATGACTAGCATACTAATCTACTTATTTTGTATGCCGATTGAATTTTCGTAATATGAAACTAAACGATAATACACAATACACTTTATTCCGTATTGATTCACAAATAATCATGATAATCTGCGTTAGTGAGCAGTATTTGAACAGTGTTTCAGTTATATCACAGCATATCAGTTTAATGTGGAAGAAAAGTTAAAAACCAATTAGGATTGAGATGTTTACCACTTTGGCGAAGCCCATGAGCACAGGTTAAATAATGGAGTGTCATAATGGGGTATAATTTGGGCTCAAACCAACAGATCCTTAAATGACTAAAAGAGACAACTCTGCTGCTTGGGTCCTTCAAGTCACAGAGTGAACAACCCAGTTCGGATTCCGGGTTAGAATTGTTTGTCATAAGAAATGACTTAATGGATTCCAGCTAGAATTGCTTGTCATAAGAAATGACTTAATGGATTTCAGGTTAGAACTGCTTGTGATGAGAGGTGACTTAATGGATTCATGGTTAGAATTGCTTGTCATGAGAGGTGAGTTAATGGATTTCAGGTTAGAATTGCTTATCATGAGAGGTGACTAAATGGATTCCGGGTTAGAATTGCTTATCATGAGAGGTGACTTAATGGATTCTGGGTTAGAATTGCATGTCATGAGAGGTGACTTAATGGATTCTGGGTTAGAATTGCATGTCATGAGAGGTGACTTAATGGATTCCGGGTTAGAATTGCTTGTCATGAGAGGTGACTTAATGGATTCCGGGTTAGAATTGCTTGTCATGAGAGGTGACTTAATGGATTCCGGGTTAGAATTGCTTGTCATGAGAGGTGAGTTAATGGATTTCAGGTTAGAATTGCTTGTCATGAGAGGTGACTTAATGCATTCCGGGTTAGAATTGCTTGTCATGAGAGGTGAGTTAATGGTTTCCGGGTTAGAATTGCTTGTCATGAGAGGTGACTTAATGGATTCTGGGTTAGAATTGCTTGTCATGAGAGGTGACTTAATGGATTCCGGGTTAGAATTGCTTGTCATGAGAGGTGACTTAATGAATTCTGGGTTAGAATTGCTTATCATGAGAGGTGACTAAATGGATTCCGGGTTCGAATTGCTTATCATGAGGGGTGACTTAATGGATTCCGGGTTAGAATTGCTTGTCATGAGAGGTGACTTAATGGATTCCGGGTTAGAATTGCTTGTCATGAGAGGTGACTTAATGAATTCTGGGTTAGAATTGCTTATCATGAGAGGTGACTAAATGGATTCCGGGTTAGAATTGCTTATCATGAGGGGTGACTTAATGGATTCCGGGTTAGAATTGCTTGTCATGAGAGGTGACTTAATGGATTCCGGGTTAGAATTGCTTGTCATAAGAGGTGATTTAATGGATGGGGGGTCAGAATATGTGGCTTGGTAGACACAGGGTGTCTGGACAAATGGGGAAAGCGAACCCCCTGCCTTTGAATCTGCCAATGGCATTCTAACATCCTGCAGGGATACAATGACACGTTTCAATGAAATCCAAAATCCTGACCACGAGATCCATTAGGTCACATTATGCTGGGGACAAATTCTAACCCGGACTACCCTTGGGGTTGATCTGCCAGTGGCATCCTCTCATCTTTTTATCCATGTGACTGTGCCTGGATCACACTGGCTCTGTTCTCCTTTCTCCTGCTCGGTATTGATCTCATCAGTGATGTAACTGCCAGTCAGCCTGACCCACCAGGTGGGACACATGCAGAAGATTTACTGCAAGCCGTACTTAACACAAATCAATCCTACTGTCACAACTATTTCTTGTTTGCCAAAGACATCAGCATGAAAAAAAATCAATACTGGGCTTACACTACCTTCAGATATACTACTCAAAATAAGTTAAAGAGCACCCGACTTTTCCATATGACTATACTTTCCTAGTCAGAGGAAACAAGAGTCATCAGAAGACGACAAATCCCCCCGGCCCCCACAACATCAAAAGTCACCACTTCAGCCCCTGGTTAATACATGTACCAAGTTTGGATGAAAAAGCTTTCACGGTTTTTAAGTTATGCTCCGGAAATGAAATATGGACAGACAGACATACATACACTATGGAATTAGCAAACGTTGATGGAATAAATACAGTGTTTATTCCTAATACAGGATATTTACCACCCAGAAACACTTCGCGTGATTATGTGATAACATCTATAAACTCTTCAATCCTGTGCATAAGACGACATCCCATGAGTGAGTGAATATGGTCGAACACGGGTCTTCAGCATGACGAGCTAACGCTTTAACCACTAGGCTACCCGACCGCCCAGTGATGCAGGTCCCAGACGTTTACCACCTCGTTGAAACCTACAAGCACGGGTATTGTGCTGACAAACCTAGAAACATAGTCGGGGTGAATCCGGATTCGAACCCACAATCAAAGGTTTCTGGCGTGCCCAAGGGACGCAACTCTGCACAGCTAATCGCGGTGCCTTAGACGACTAGGCCACTTGTGCCCTCCTCGCCTTATACAGAGCTATATATGGTACTGTTTTGCAATTGAAATGAATTGGAAACACGACTGTGTTGAGATACTGGTCAAGTTTCTCAATACTGTTGTATGCCTGCCTTTCTTGTTCCGCTACCTTCATTTTATGAGAGTTATTTCCCCAGTTGTCCATTACTGACCGACCATTTAATATTCATGGGGTGAGTGGAAGAAGGGGACCCAGGACTCTGGACAGACAAAGACTGTTTTTGTGTGACTGTTTCAAGACATATTATTTTTTCTGAAGGGAAGAACATAAGATATGAGGGGAAACACAACACAACTGTTTCAGGACATGAAGCAAAAATATATTTTTCAGGAACAAATAATTTGCTTTTTTCAGAAACACTCCCAGGCCCAAACCATGAATTTGAGTGAGTGAGTGAGTGAGTGAGTGAGTGAGTGAGTGAGTGAGTGAGTTTGGTTTGACTCTGCTTTAAATAGTTCCAGTTATATCACGGCATGTCTGCTTGATGTGGGAAGAAACTAAGTGATGCAGGTCTTTGATGTTTGCCACTGATGTTTACGAGGACAGGCATGGTGCTGACAACCCTAGAAACATGATCACATCAAACCAGGATTTGAACCCACATAGATAGGTTTATGGTATGCCCAACGGAAGCAACGCTGCACAGCGAATTGCGGAGCCTTAGATGACTGGGCCATCTGTGCCGCCATGAAAATCCAAAACTTCGGAGAGAGCTACTGAGAGCATGGCAAGGATTTCATTCTGGATACAGTGAGTGAGTGAGAGAGTGAGTATGGTTTTACGCCGCTTTTAGCAATATTCCAGCAATATCACGGCGGGGGACACCAGAAATGGGCTTCACACATTGTACCCATGTCGGGAATCGAACCCGGGTCTTCGGCGTGATGAGCGAACGCTTTAACCACTAGGCTACCCGACCGCCCCTCATTCTGGATACAGTGAGTGAGTGAGTGAGTGAGTATGGTTTTACGCCGCTTTTAGCAATATTCCAGCAATATCACGGCGGGGGACACCAGAAATGGGCTTCACACATTGTACCCATGTCGGGAATCGAACCCGGGTCTTCGGCGTGACGAGCGAACGCTTTAACCACTAGGCTACCCGACCGCCCCTCATTCTGGATACAGCTTTTAGTGGTTGAAGGGAATGCTAGATCAGGTACAACTAAGTATTTTATAGGACAAAATGTATTGCTGTTTATCAATGCATTGCTATATGCTATAAAATTCTTATTAAGCGTAAATGCAGCAGCCACAAATCAATAGCTGACGTTCTCAAACAGTTAGACTCACATTTACAAACATGAAGTGACATCATCCTTTTCCAAGGTTTCTTCAAATAGTGTGCCCCGGGCATTCTGATAGATTCAATGCTCTTGACCTTCGAACTTAACTATTCATTAACATCCTTTTAATATGCATCTAATGTTGACTGGTAAAAATTCACGATTTGTTTACATGAAAATTTGTTGACGTGAATCGAACCTGCAACCTCAGATATCGTGTTAAAAAAGGTAATGTAACCCACTGTTTGCCCACTTAGCTGCTGGGGAAGGTGATGAAAGGGTATTCAATCTTACATAACTTCAGTTGTCTGCATGCTGCATGTGGTCTTTCTCTCATCTGTTGTTATCAAATTTGTTTTATACCGCAACTACAGTATTGTTTCATTATAAGGTATTTCTGGTATTTATTGCATTTAACTGGTTCATAAATAGAGATTATTATATGAGCACATGTGTCATACTGATTTTACAAACAAGTGTCACAATTCTTCTATTTCCTGATGGAAAACGAGGATAAAACACAAATTCTTACACAAGTTATATAAAATCAGTATGACACGCATTTGAGTGTAATAATTCCTTTATTACCCATTATTTCTTAATCCTTTTAAGTTCCCCTGTAGAATGCACTGATCATGGCCACCATCTTAGAAAACAACTGTCCTATGACATCAACAATCCTCAGCTATGAAG